TATTTTGTACCATGATATGAAATATATATTGTAAATCGTAGGTAATTTGTGAACAATTACGTTTACAATTTTGCATGTAAAATGTATTTTGTTCAATAAATTGCATATTTTTSCATATTTTCCATTTTTTTACTGCATATTATACCGCATATTTTGATGATTTTAACGCATATGTATGCGCATATTTGAGTAATTTTTAGCGCATAAAGTTCCGAGCCTTGATTATTATATTAAATTACAAACATTTAAACATTTTCAATAGTCATATTACATATAGTTTCATTATATTAAATTTGTTGAAATTGCTTTAGTGTTTAAAAATTATATTTAATTTCAATGCAGTTATTATTGTAAATCAAGTATCCTCATAAGTATCTAATTTAATTGAAAGATAAATTTGTTATTGAATTTCGTGATATTTTTTATATTCTTGTGGTATCAACTATGTATTTGAAATTCTTTAAAATTACTTCAGTTATTACTATCTCTTAATACTAGTTAAACATTTACTTATATGTATTAATTTAAAGACTGGGTATATTATTTATGATACCAAAAAATTAATTAGATATGTTGAATAACATTTTCTGTTATATTACTTTTTTAAATACAACTATGACTGAAACTGTAAAATAATCGTTTTTAGATACTTTTATAGCCAGTGACATGSTTATCATCATTGGTGTTGAARGACAATAATATATTAATTGTCTTTGGCACAACTCTGATCAAAGCATCATGTTTAGATTGTTGGTAGTTAAAATAGGGTATATGCTCAATAAAGTTAAGAAATACCGAGTTAAAATTTAAAGTATAAATAAAACTTTATTTTGAATTGTTTCATAAAGGAACTAATCAAAGTGAGTTCTGAATTAAACAAAAAACCTCTGCCTCCAATAAAGCCGGCTAGTGGATTGAGAATTCCTCGAGATGGTTCAAGTTTTTTACAAACAAATTACAGGCTCAAAACTGATTTGGTAAATTATCGTAAATTATTAACTAATCAGTTTATTAGTTATTTTTTCAATGAATTTTTTCATAGGCTAACACAGGAAAAGTATTGAAGAAAAACACTAAAATAACAGCTGCGGAATTTTTGATTGCGGCCAGAGAGACTGAAGCTGTCGGTCCTAACGATAATACTCCAACACAATGTAATTAAATTTATTTTATTTTTTTATTTAAACCAAATGGAATTTGAATTCATATTTTATGTATAATTAAAATCAATTTTAAAATTTTGGTCAAAGTTTATTGGCATACTTAGTCATTTATAATCTAGCAGATCTAGTTTTTATTTATCTAGCACAATTAAATAGTGGACAAACCTTTGATGTTGTTCTACCAATCTGGTAATCTGAAACTACAAACACAATTTTAACAATTTTATTTATGAATGTAGTAACTAATATGTTTAAAAATACTACATTTATTAATTAGGGAAAACATATTTGAAATCCATTATTTTATTTATTTAACTCTTGGAACAACAAAAATTTAATTTTGCATAGAGAGATAATTGTTTTTACTTTTAATAAAGTATATTAGAGTTTATTATTTTTAATTTTTTACATCGACTAAAGAATTATATTAATAATTTATAACTCTACCCAATTATTATCTTTTGTAGTTTTTTACCCTTATTATTCCATTTATTCCTCTCCATACAAGTTTTATGATACATTAAATGTATTATATTGTTTATATTGTTTTATTAATCAGGCATTTTAATATTAATACTTATTATTATTTATAGCTGATCCGAAGATGGATGATTTAAATGATTTGGACTTTGATGAAGTTATTGGAAATCAGCAGGACAATCAAAACGATTTCAATGATTTCAATTTGGATTCTTTATTACAAGATCCTAATTCATTATCGTTTTAAACATACTAAAGAAAAATAACATTTTTTGTTTTTTTAACTTTGAGTTACTAATCTTATATGAGTTAAACTTACATTACATTATTTAAGTACACCATTTTATATCATAAACTTTATTATAATTCTCTAAAAAACACTCAAATTTACCTTATGTTTTGTATAATTCATATTTGATAAACTGAATTTTTTCAAAATTTGATTGTAAATTATTTTGAGTTTAATATTTTGGTTAAATTGAATATCCATKAGTCGAGATATGGCTAAAAATGCCAAATCAATTAAAAATATTTGTAACTATCTTTATTAAGTTTAAAATTTAATTTTAATTTTTGAGATTTATCTAGAATAATGTTTTAAGTTTTAACTCATAAAAAATGAATAATAATAATAAATGTAATTCATGTTACTGAAACAATATGTGCAATTTTTTTTTTCTCATTGGCATCACAACTCTTCAAGAGTTTTTGCCGCCACTGATAACTTCCTCCACTCTTCCCGATTTTGCACCTTTTCTTCCCRATTTGAAATCCCTAGTTTCTCTAAATCCTGTTTTATACCATCTATCAATTTTATTTATTTTTATTTTTATTATAATGTTTAATTTTAGTAGTTATTAACTATGTATCAAAAAATAATATTCACAATTTATTGTACACTTGATGGGTGTCATCCTGTCATATTAACTGGTATTTTAAGGTTCCCCTGATTCCATAAATAAGGCCAATTTAAATGTTTTCACTTATAACATACCTGCCAGTCTCAATTGTTAATTTTAATTACATATAATATTAATGATCATCACAAGGTACTTATAAAATACATATTAATTTTCAAGCTCTTAATTAATGTTAAATATTTATTAAGGCTTTATTTGGAATTTGTGACCAGTCACTGATGTCTGAAATGTCTGTTTTAAAAAACATTTTGGGTGAAAACTTCAGTTTAAAGAAAATAAAACAGCATTTGACATTAGTTGATGTTAAAGTATTTCTAAATGTTGGTAAGATGTTTCTATTACTCTTCCAGTAAATACAGCGATCTGTGAGAAATCATTTTCTACTATGTGACGCTTAAAAACATGGTTGCATACTTAAATGAATAAAGATAGGTTCAGAAATATAAGTATTTTGAATATGGAAAGGGATATTCTTATTACTTATTGTAATAATGAAGACATATTAAAAATTTTTGAAAAAACCGAGAGATAAAGAGTTAATATATTAAATATATGTATTTAAATAAATGGTTAATGTTAAAGTATGTATATTATTACTTATGATTTATATATATATATAACATACTACGTTAGAATTGAAGAAATACGGATACCATCCATAAAAGTATATACCTACTTATTTTAATTTGAAAAAAAAATTGTGTGAGATTTGAGCACCCMTTCCCCCCTTAACCTATTACGCTACTGATTATAAACATTTACACTAATTATTAATCACTATTTAGCTATCACAATATATTTGTGCTTATTAGTTAAACTTTTCAACTTGTGTATGCTTGATACTACCTACAGTAATATTTAAAATTAGTATGCGTATGGTGTTACACRCAACAGTGTTGTGACACCAAATTATTGATTTAATTATAGTAATTCATAATCATGGATCCAGGGGGGAGTAGGGACCAAGGCCCCCAGACATATAATTTCCCACCTTTTTTATACTTCTATATTTCAATCACAGACATCGATTATGTCAGTTATTTTAATAAATTATACATATAATTCTGTGGACAGCATGAACTAAGATAGTCCTATTTTGCATTTTATAATCAATAATATATTTTGCACATTGATTACTTATACTATTATGAA